CACCAGCCGAGCCAAGCCTACATTAAAACTAGAGGGAAACAAAAAAACTACTTGTGAGGTTTTTTTTACACAATCACTGTTTTTGTCATTGAGGAAGATGTTAAACAACACCAGTCCCAGTACAGACCCCTGAGGGACACCACTGGTCACTTTTGCCCAGCTGGACATCGAGCCATTGACCACAGCTCTCTAGGTGTGACCATCCAGCCAGTTTCTTACCCACTGAACAGTCCACCCATTGAACTCGTATCTCTCCGGCTTAGAGAGGAGGATGCTATAGGGGACGGTGTCAAAGGCCTTGGCAAAGTCAAGACAGATGATGTCCACAGCTCTTCCCTTGTCCACTGATGCAGTTACTTCCTTGTAGAAAGTCAGGCAGGTCTTGCCCCTGGTAAAGCTGTGCTGACTCTCCTGAATTACCTTCCTGCCCTCCATGTGCCTTAGCATTTCTTCTAGGAGGATCTGCTCCATGATCTTCCCAGGCACAGAGGTGAGGCTGACAGGTCGGTAGTTCCCAGGGTCTTCCTTTCTACTCTTTTTAAAAATGGGTGTGATGTTTCCTTCCTCCCAGTCACCAGGGACCTCAGCTGACTGCCAGGACTTTTCAAATATTATGGGCAGTGGCTTGGCAACTGCATCAGCCAATTCCTTCACTGCTCTGGGGTCCTTGTTATTCAGCAGTCTTTTGTCATATCGTAAATGCTCATTATGTGCTTGTTTTCTTTCCAGGTCAGCTTCTATCTTCGCATATGCCACAAAACACGTTACACTGCCTTGTGCCAGGCCTAGGGACTCCCAAAGTATGACACGACGTTCATTCCACCACTTCTCCCAGGCTACAGTGCATGCCCTGATAGGCAACGAAAGGGCTTGCTCCAACTCTGAGTTACAGATGTGTGACACCTGCAGGTACCTTAAGTTTCCCAGATAACAGTTTCTGATTGAAAGATGCCATGTTACTATTTTGCACTTAGATAAAAATCACATTGACTCAAATCCAGGTTTCTTGTCACACAGGCTGTTAAAATGTCCACACTTTCACAATACTAAACAGACAAGCAAGACTATTAATGGAAGGGCATGGCAGGAAGATGTGGGAAACATTTGTTTCAGGTCAAGAGACAGCCTTCCAGAAGCACCAGAATGGTGCAGTGGATGACTGATCTTTAAAATAATCTGGGGTTATAATATAATTTATAAGCCAGATAAGTGTTTTGTTAATTAATGGCATCCATTATTTCCTTTGTTATACAGTCTCTATAATAATAAATACACAACTTCCTATTTAAGCTTCAGATTTTAGTAATTATCGATTTCCTATTGAACAATGCTGTCCTCGTGTTTACCCTTTGCTTAGGAGCAGGCAGACAACAGGTTTGAGAAGACGTTTCAAATGCAAACAACAGCACAGTATGCTGGATGACTGATCTGGCAGAAGTCCCTCGCCTGGAGTTAGTTAAAACCTTTTCAGCCAAAACTTAAAACCAGCCTCCTTTTCAAGGTCTGCAGAAATCCATACTTGAATCTAAACCTTTAAACATGTTCCCAGGTGCATCAAAAAGAGTACAGTGTGCTTGTGAGATTGCCTCTTGTTTTTGAAAACACTGGTCCAGCATGGCACATCTGCAGCCAGCCTCTAGAGTTGGCTTTCCAGAACCAGAATAACTCCCTCTGGGCCAGACATAAACTGCTGCACTTAGGTATTAAATTACTGGTATTACTTTCATGCTAGAAACATGGATGAAGCAAGTTTTATTTACCACATATTCTGTGACCATTGTTGATATCTGTCATGGGTATATGCTCAATGATTAATTAGCCTCTTAACTCTTAAGATACAACTGATCTACTTACTGTTTTCTGGGTGTGTGCCCAACTCCAAACTAGTTTTATTGAGCTCTATGTCTCTATCAGAACTAAGGCAAACAAATGGTGAAAATCAAGCACACAGAACAAGTCACCTTGTAAGAAGAAACTGGGAATTCTGGATAGTCTGCTGACTGTTTTCTGTGTTAGCTGTGTTGGTTGCTGTTGCAGATTGTGTCATAGCAGTGTTGACATTGATCGTGTTGGTGCGTCTAGTTGCATTACGTGCAGTCTCCAGTTGTTGTCTTGCTGCCTGTGCATGTTGTCGTTCCAACTGCAGTTGCATCTGCAGCTGCTGTAACTGAGAGGCAGAAGGGCCAGAGGAGTTGAGCTGTCCTCCTGCAGAACGCCTTACGCCTGATAGCTGAGATAAAAGTTCTGCCAAAGAGAAAGTTTCTGTTATGAAAGGTCTTAAATGAACATTACACAACAGAATGAATACACCCCGAATTTCACAGCATCAATTCCTTTTTTCCACCAATAAAATCAAAAAACAATGCTGAAGAGCCCATGAAGCCCTTGAAAAAAAGTCCTGGCATTCAACATCTCAAAGAAAGCTTAAGACTTATTTATGCAGATTTATTCTGGATGAGAATACGAAGTTTAACGCCTTCAAAATAACAGGAGAACCAATCTACAGGGAACGCCTGGCAAATGATGTCCTCTGACATAATTCTCTGAAACTTCAAGTCAAAATATCAACTGACAAGAAACTGCTTCATTTTGGCCTGGTTGGTGATTTTATTTTCCTTTTTAACAAATGCTCCTCCAAAACACAGGTTTCACTTCCCAATATCCAAGGGGGAAGCTGTGCTACAGCGAAGAGAAAAATATTGCATCATTGCTTCCAAAAATTTTTATTTCAAATATTTAGTTACAAAAAGTATTGCTTCACATCAAAACTGAAGTGGTCAGGCATTTTTGCTGTAGGATTTTTTTTCTGCCAGAAGTACAGAGACGTTCTAGCAATTAAAATTAAAAACTCTGTCCTTAAGTCTTCCAGTTTGGAGGGATAGAATGCTTATAGCACATTTCTTTCACAAATCATTTTTAAAAACAAATATTAGCAGCTAATTACTGCTCAGTGCATTGCTGCATAATCCCTTTTGCACCCTGTTTAGAAGGCAGTGCTATCAGCTGCTTGCTGCAAGCGCAGAGGAAGTAACGGACAACACTGCTCCTGCCCCCCACACCTCCATGCCATAAAGTTACTGCATAGGTCACGACCACTTTCCTTTCACAGCATTAACAAAAGAGAATCCTTCTAAATAAAGCTTTCTTTGAGGGAATAAAGTAAAACTTTATGTTGGGAATTCAGGACGGTCAAGCATTTTTTACAAGCGATAGCAATAATAACAAAGGGAAAAAAAAAAAAATTGTAACAGATGCTGTAAACGACATTTATTTTAAACAGAAAAACTCTAGTGGTCCTTCCTATTTATTAAGCCAGTTATGTGGGGGACTTATAAAACTTCCAGACAAGATTCAGATGTATTTATTCTCACTTGAAGTTACAGCTTAAGTTAAAGCTTCAAGTTTGCAAAAGAGCGTTCTGGAAGCAGATGTGAGCTCGAGACAGTCTCAGTATAAGGAGACCCAGTTCTGGGTGCACCCGAACTCCAAACACAAAGACAGCTTTCACCAAAACAGAAGATTCAGAAGAATTCAATTTTATCCAATGTTTAATGCTGCTAGGTGGGAAGGCCTTGTGCAGCTGAAAACAAACCTCAGCAGCCACTCCACGTGTAACTGAGCCGAGCTAGCTGCCCTCGTAAGAGAGAGACGAGGTCTTGCACTGGAGGCTTGACAGGCATCCTCTCTCCCTGCACAAACTCTAGTCCTTCACAGACCCTCCTGCTTCCCAGCTTTTTCAGTAGTTAGAGCCAGCAGCAGGCAGGCAAGGGGACCATGACTGAAGCAGGAGCGAGGCCTTATGAAGGTGGCTGGCTGGACACCTCCCTCTGGCGGATCACAACGTGACAGCAGGGAGCTCCAGTTTAAGAATTACACCTTCTTTGCATGCGAGGCAAAGATGGGTTATGGCAGAAGTTCTGAGGTTTCCCTGACACACTGGTGTGGCCAAAGACAGAACATAAACACAAAAAGGTTTAGATTTCCCCTTAGGGTACTTGTTTTCAGAATTGTCTTTGTTCTCCATTTTTTATTTCCCTTAAAAGCTATATTCACATCAAAGCTAAACCTACACCAGTTAATGCTCTAGTTAATCCCAGACACACCTTCATTATTTCCTGGTGTTGAAAATGTGACACCTTTCCTGACCTCATATATTTTCAAAACCTGACCAAAATATACGGCATATACTTGCAACAGTACATTTATACGAGAATTTACATCTAAAAATATCCATAATATTACCAAGTCTAGCATTCAAACAGCAGCCTGAGTGCCAACAGGACATATTTTAAATGTCCCTTAAAACTCAAATTCAGTTAATTTTATCTTCATTGAGACAGATGCTCTACTCCATAAACACCTTTATCCACATGGCAAATTAAAATGAGATGAAGTAGGTGATGGAAGTCAGAGACAACCACTTGTACAAATAAACAACACCTGTGCTCAGATATGGTTTGGGAATAAGCTTTACACTGTCTAGAATTAAAAGCACAAGCTACAGGCAGCAGTTTCAGCTTCAGCATCTCCATGCACAGGCCCTGCAACAACCCAGCCAAGCAAAATGCTCACCTGCAAGCAGCCATCCATCACACCTGCTCTGTGTGAGGACAATGGGGTAGAATTCATGGTTACAGCTCTTACCAGCTATAGGATCCATAGCTTCTCTATTGCTTGGAGAATACGAACTTTGAGAAGACGAAAGCCCACCAGGGGAACTGGTAGTAAAGTGCATGTTTGATCTGCGTGCACGGGGGCCTCCCAAACCCCGGCCCGGGTGGAACATCCGACGTACGTGTCGAACACCACTGGATTCATCGTGACCAAGAAGTTAAGAAAAGAGCTGTCTGGCACTGAGTACTAAGTGACAAGGACATCTGGTGGGTGAAATACTTGGCTGCATGCTGTTCCTCATCCATAAGCTCTTGACTCAACCTCTGAGGTGAAGCTAAGGCACACTGTAGCTATGGTGCAAGCCAGATTTACTGATCTCAACTCAAGATATGCAGTGCTGTGTACACTAAGCTTCCTGTATGTCTCCACCTTTTTATGTCCAAGAAATATCAGGATTCATTTCCTAGGTTTTTCAGGTCAAATTTTTGTACTTTGTAATCTCAGAACTCTTGACAAATACATGCTCAGCCAAGCTTGTTACAGAGACAGGGATTTTATTCTCCCTCTCCGATTCATATGTTCATTATTGAAAATCGTGAAGTTTATCACCATTCCCACCAAAAGAGCATGTTACTGTAGTCCTATTGACTTTTGTACTTCAAGTGTTTATCCAAGAAATTTTATCATGTCACTCCTTAAGAAACTGTACGTTTCTGGACTATTCAGCACTTCCATCACCCCTCCTTGTTTCACCTTTCTTCTTTTGGCCAAATAAACACCACTAACTAAATTTATTACAAGGATGCTTTTCATTGCCCCGTTTCCCCTCACTTCTCCGTATTATCTACTTACATTTAAAACCATATCTTTTACTCATTTTTTCATATAAATTAAGAAACAATCAAATTTGAAGACTATTTGTCAGAAAGTCATTATTCATTCCTCTAAGACAGTCAAGAAAAAACTTTTATTTTAAAAATCACTATATAATTCACTAGTGGAAAATTGCTTGAATATTTTATTTTCCTGTTACTAGACTTTTAGCTTAGATCCTCCGACCTCCCATGATCTGTATTTTTTCAATACTATGCTTACCACTCAAACAGTATCCATCACTGTACAAGAGTAGCATCCAAGGTAACTAGTTAAAATGCAACCAAATGCAATCATAACTGAAATGGAACCATCTCCTTACATGTTGTCCCTCTACTGCTAGCATAACTAATTACAGCTCTTAGATTTGGTTGTTTGGTTTTTATTATTGTTAACTTTTTTTTTAAACTTGATTTTTTTCCATTTTAAAAATCTTTAAACAAAAAAAAGCTACTATCAAATTAATAACGTAGTCTTTTTGTCTGCTTGTTTAAATGAGACACAGAAGAAGAATACTTCAGAGAGATTAGCTACTGCAGGTAGGCTAAATGGCCTGCATGTCATTAAATAAAAAGCCTAAATCAAAATACATTTCATCAGCTAATCCTTCCAGAGTGGGTGTGATGGTGTAGG